AATCATCAGTTCCTCAAGGCCGGCCGCGTACCAATCAGAACGTCATCTGGAGTCGATCAGGATAGTGGATCCTTCAAGTAATTTTTTATCACGTACGTTTCCCACAAGCACGAACCTCGTGTACAGTGGGTCTCGATTGTTGATTGTTTTCCAAATCAGTACCGCGCATGCAAGTCTGCTCTCAGCATAAAGCCAACGCTACTGCGAAATTTTTCGCAGCGAGTACCTATGCTCTGGTGACATGCACATTGCGTATATCCAAAACCGCACCTTCCGCCAAAACATTTTTGGCGTCGAATCCCATCAAGGTGCCACTCTGCTCCAGCTCGGATGTCTAACACACACCCAGCACTGCCAACCGCTACACTATCAAGATGAGCGAGTGGCGGCAGGAGCAAGAGTTAGTGATTGGAACTGTGCTGAGCCCTTGTTTCGGCCAACGGTCTCATGTCCGTTCGGCATTCGACATGTGGCTCAACAGCGTTCGGTCGCTTTCCAAAACCCAATAGCTGTCCAAATGTGCGTCGTCGCCTACCAATGTAAAAGATGCATGGCATCATAGCACTTCGGTGTCGATTCAACCCTTTTCGCTAAGGGTATTCGGACAGCTAATTCTGCCTCTAAACCAAAACCGAGATGCATCGATCATCTTTTGCGTTGGCGAATGTAGAACTGCTCGTTCAGCCACGCGGACATTGACCGCTCTCATCAAAACCCAACACCTAAACGTCGTCAACCAAGACAACGCCGTATATCCGCAATTGTTTTGTGACGTCATTTAGTCCAACACCAGACCTTAATGCTTTGCTTGGCTCGCTGACACGACGAGCAAGCTTACAGCATTCTGGAAACAGCACAGTGTCTTTCTTCAGCAACACCGTCTCGACACAACCGACCGCCGCCAAGACGAACGCAGTATTGTCCCGCCGTGAGAACGTGCGTGATGCGACTGAATGCTTGTCGTTGAGGGCTGTGGAGAGTCGGGCGCAATGCTGAAGAAATACTAAAGGTACGTATTGCATTAGTTGGTGGACCCAACTACGGTTGTTGCTCTGTCACTAATAAGCATTCGTGCCTTTATACCAAGACCGCCCCATCTCGGGCTCAATCAGAACCTGCACTCGTCTGGTTTCGCAGATTCGGCTTCTACGTCGTTACTGTGCAACTATGGGACGAGTCGTTTTTTTTAATCAAGTCCTGGTATGCTTTGATTAATGCAAGCAAAGCTCGCAAGTAGTCAATACCTTGACATCCATATTCAAAACTACCGGCCTGAGCAAGTCTCAAATGGGTCGGAGCCGAAGGCTTCCGTATCAGTTTGAACCAGATCAACTCGATCCGGGGAAAACGATACGTAGGCACGACGCTTAGGATTCACGTCCATTTGATTCAAAACCTATCCAATCGCATGGCCCGAAATGAGCCAGTGATTCGGTAACTCAAAACCAGCTCATTGACTAACCGTCAATGAGCCAAGACTTGAACCAAGCCCATAGAGGCTTGATTGCTTCGCAAATTCCAAAACCCAAGGCCTTAAAAATTTACGAATTTTTAAGCCTTACCTTCTAATGGAAGTAAAAAAGTTTTGATCCAATACATGGGAAAGCAAAGCTTCGTGGAAAGTCTTCACTTCCCGTCGCTGGCCCCCAGATCATATCCAATCTGCTCGCGTCACAAGACTTGCACGAACGAGGACAAGGACTCTACACACCATGTACGCTCCACGTCCTCCACGACCAACCGAAAGCGCAGCAAACCATCGAACAATGTTCAAACTGTTTTCTCTATGTGTGTCTTTTTCGTTTGGTCACTCCCCCATGTATTGTAAGTCCGCCCACGTGGCGGACTCTACCCCTGCCTTTGAACCAAAACCTTTTTCCGGGCGGAAGGCCTTTGGCACTACGTTCCATAGGCAAGGACGACACTGACCCAAAACCACACTTCCCGTTGTTACCTGCTGGTACTCTGAGGAGCCTCCCGGCACTCAGAGAAAAACATCCGGTTGCTGAATCGAAGGGTTCTACTCATACCTTCTTCAGTTGGCGAAAGCCAGTGTGAAAACTTCCCCGTTAACTCGGGCGGCAGTGTCGAAACCTTTCTGCTTATTGCAGAGGTTCGAAGGGATTTTCCTATCCCGCGCCCCTTGCCTGTGATACCGTAGTCCCCGGCGCCCCCCGGAGAGCCGCGCTCTCCGATTTTTGGCGAATTGCCTTTTTTGGGTAAATTGCCCTTTTTTGGGACAATTGCCCCTTTTTGGGTAGTTTCCTAGGAGCAAGCCTCCATGCTGCCCAATATCGTCAGAGTTGAGCCAAAACCCTTTGTATTGCTTTGTGCAATATGTTTTGAACCAGAACCTTGTGACCAAGCGATGAGTACAATTGTATCTCAGTTTTGTTCATTGCCGATAAACCTTTTGTCTCTAGACAATTGTACCGAAATGCATTTGGGACTCTTTACAAGATTTCTACCACTGAACAATCCAAGCTTCATCTCCTTGTTGTGGCTTCTTGGGTTCGTGAATCTTTCTTGACCTATGTCGAGGATACTAGGTTCGGGAGAGTCTGAACGGGCCCAAGGGGCAAAGGCAGAAGTATAAAGTGTGGCAAGTCCTTACTCTAGACCTCAGTGATCCTTTTGGTAGAGGCTAGAAAGCAGGATAGACTTTATTACTTTTGTCAAGCCCCAGTATTACATAGTTAAGCAAAGAAAATAGCTGAGTCCCCTTTGGCAATTTAAAAATATTTTTCTAAAGTTCGGTTTCGTGACCTCGAAAAATCCATGACCAGGGGGTCGTTGAAAAACTCGAAAATTCATCGATCTCAAAAATTCTTTAATATGTTTATGCGATTGTGTCAAGCCTGTAGGTATTCCACAACAACTGATTTTGAGGTTTTCGCCATAGGTTTTTCCAATATTAAAAATTTACAAAATTTCCCCATACAAAATTTCATTCCTCTCTAACTTTTCAACCAGACCCTCAAAAATTCTTAAATTTTGTAGGTATATATCTGCTGCCTATATTAACTTACTTAATAAAAATTAGAATGCCAGCCACCACAGGAAACTGGAAAAAATACAAACGAAGTTTCCCCGAACGCACATTTTCCGGGTGTCATTTGTATGGGTACGTCGCCAAAAATCGAAAAAATCAAGTTGTGTTAAATCTTCATACCCAGCATATTTAAGCATTCTGGCATGGTAACACACCTTCGATTCTCTACCGTTCGCGAGATATTCTGCCCCAAACTCGGATCTTTTTTTTGTCCACCCTGGATAGCTGGAACACAAAGAAAATCCGAATTCAGGGCGACGCCGAGCGGGTCAATGGAAAGTCGCCGATCCCGATGATGGACCGGAATAAGGCGCATGAATTGCCGCAAATGCAGGTCGGCTTCCTGAGCTCAATAATAACGAATTCCTATATAGTTTTATATGGTTTTTACTCAGTTTTATAACCTAAAAATTTAAAATACCCAAAATTTTGCATTTTTACAACCAAAAATTATTTTTGAGTTTTCAGCTTTTTCTCTTTTATTCTTATGCTAAAAATGAGTAGGTGCTAAATTACTACATAACCTTAATAAAAACGTTGATTGAAAATGAAACAACAACTATAGTCCCCCCGATAATAGAACAGTACCGAGAAACTAGCTGGATTTTTGTCTAGAAAAGTTCGTTTTGGGCTCATTAATAAAAACAAATAAAACTCGGTACTTTTTCACCATCCGGGGAGGAGGAACCATTGTAAAGAAATACAAAAAAAAAATCGATTTTCGACAAAAATTCCAACTTTTTAGTTTTTAGATAGTTCTTTGACCAGAAATCTAGTTAAATTTTACTAAAAACGCTATTACAACACCTATAAGGAAACAAAAATAGTCCCCCCGATAATGCCAAAGATTCTAGGTGGGCTTCATGCGCGGCATCTGCGCTCCGTGCTACGACCTGATCGCCAAGGTTCTGCCAAAGAGCGAGACGCTGAAGCAGCGCTGCGAGTAAGCCTAAAAATAGAAAATTAAGAATTATTTAGATAATTACCTAAATTAATTTGGCAATTTAGATGTAGAAATAGCTATTTTTGTTATAATCAGAATTAATATTATTTTTATGCTAGTAAAACGTACTTTTTTTACAGGTACAACGCGATGAAATGGGAGGAGCTGGCGGAGGAGCAGCGCCAGAAGGACAAGGAGAAAGCCGCCCAAAACGGGGGATAAACTCCAAAAATCTAAACGATAATAATTCAACAATTTTACCCTATTTTTCGTTGGTAAGGTCCGGTCGCCTTACCCCCGCAACCCACACTATGCAATCCCCCGGTGCTTCCAGAGAATTTTATCACTATCCGCCCGGTTCTTGTGCATTATCGGGGGGGTCCTAGAAGTTCAGAAATGCCCAAAATGTAATAGTGAGTGTTTCCATACAATTTTTAGTAAAATTTAATTAGATTTCAGGCGGAAAAACTGTTTAGAAACCTAAAATAATTTTTAAAGTCCGAAATTTTTGTCTAAGAACCCAGATTTTTCGTATTTTAGTAAATTTTCTAGTTTTACGGTTAGTAATAGTGCAAATAAGTTTAAAAACATTTCCTTGATTTATATTAGAACCCTTCCCCCCGATAATGCCAAAGAACCTATACAACTATTCCCGTTTTTAATTTATTGCACACCCAGTAATAAATATTAGTAAATCAATAAAGAATTCGTTTCCAATCGATTTCGCGAGCTCTCAGGGCTCCCAAAGAACTCGATAACTATGCCGCTTTAATTTATCCAAAAAATCATCACACAGTAACAAATATCACAAACATAAATAAATAAAAAATAAATTTGTTTTCCAATCGACTTCGCGAGTTCGTAGCTAACTAATTCGCGGGCCGGAAATCGAGCAGCACCCAGGGATCCTTGAAAATTTGTTGCAACCCGAGTCTCCGCGCAGGGTCCTTGATCAAAAGCCCGTCGATTAACCTAAAGTGGATTGAAATCAAGGGAAAGGCTTTACGTTTTCAGTTCTGAACTCAATTCGATGGTTGGCTGTAGGTAGGGCTGTTCGGCAATGTTCTCAAATAGCCGCATGATGAGTTCGCCTGGAAATTGGTGGATAGAGGTGAAAATTCGGGTATTGTACTCTTAGCGGGGGGAGCTAACTTTAATCTCTCGGGACGGAAAAAAATTACGAAAAGATACGCCTCAAAAACGCCTTTTTGAAGTCAAGAAAATACACGAAAATACTGAAAATGTTGGAAAAAGCCTTTGAAGACCCCTTAGTAATGAAAAATTCTAAAAACACCATAAAAACACTTCAAAACTCGTAGTAATGAGTTATTTAGTAAACGGCGCTTTCGCGTTACTGGTAGGTGGGGGATAATCTTTTTGTAATTCCAGAAATGTAAGTGTTTTAATACTGTTTCAATAGAATTACCATCTATAAAGTGCAAAAACTATATAAAAAGTTAGAAATTTTCGAAATTTTGTTCGAAAACCGCCATTTTTCGTCGAAAATCGATATTTTTTTGAATTTTTTATGTAATTGTCAAGTTCTTCAGTTCGGGAATAATAACAAAATAGTTTAAAAGTTTGAGGTAGTTAGAGTAAATTAATTAAACAATTCCATTCAAATGTAAAAATCGTTTTTGGAAAAAAAACCTGGGAAAATACTAAATAACAGAAAAATTTCCGAAGATTACCTTCAAAGGGATACGCGCCAGTCACAAGATTGTACAACGTCACGCCCGCCGACCAGATGTCGATTGGATACCCGCTACAAAACATTTATTATTTTTTAAAACTATCAAACAAACTTGAAAACCGCATTGAGCCCGGAGACCACTTCCGGTGGCTGAAACTTTGGCGTGCCGCGCGCAGCCGTGCAAACGTCGTCGTTCTAAAGAAAGTGCATTTTTAATACGCAAAAACCTTTACCTGAAATGGCGACAATTGCTCAGCCACCCCGAAATCGGTAATCTTCAGCGTGCCGTCGGCCGAGATCAGCAAATTCGCCGGCTTGATATCCTTTGTGAATGACGCCCTTGGAGTGCAAGTATTCGAGGCTAAATCGATGATTTTCAGGCGCTTTTGCATTATCGGCGGGCGGGACACCCGTTTTTTCGCATATAAATAGAGGAAGTTTTTCTAAACTGTTTTTTAATACTCCTAAACGTAATACATAATATAATATAGTACATAATTTTTCAAAGTTTTTTTTAAAGGTTTTTCCACTTAATATTGTGAAATTTGACGAAAATACTATTAAAATACTCACTGTTACATTACTAGGCATTTCTGGACTTATAGAAGAAAAGTCGCCCCCCCCCGATATTACAAAAGCGCCGATTTTCATAAGGAAAAAGTACCCGGTGATGAGCTGCCGGAAGAAGAATTGAGCCCAGTTTTCCGGCAAACGCCCGTTGTCAAAGTTTTCGACGACCTAGAAAAAAATAAGTAAAATTCGATCCAATTTCCCTACCTCTTGCAGTGACGCCACGCAATATTCTAACACCATATACATCTTTTCCTTCTCTTCGATTCGAAAAAACTAAAACAAAAAGAGTATTATCATCGTAGTACATACAAACTTGATACATCTGGATACAATTCCGGTGATTCAACCGTGACAGTATTTCGCGCTCCGTTTGCACGTGCTCGAAGCCGTTCGGTATCTTGCGCAATCTTTGCTCTAAAACCTTATTAAAAGCCACATCTGGCGGAAATACCCTTGAATATTTTGACGGCGGCTCGTTGTAGGGTTTTCTTGTAGATGGCTTCCTAAATCATGATTAAAATTGGATTAAAAAGCCAACCTTTACTTTCGCATAGCTGCCCTCGCCAATCAGGGCTCCAAACAAGTAGCCATGGTACTGCTTCGGGGGTTTTAGTTGCCAGACTTCGTTTCCGGTCTCCGGGTCAGTAATTACCTAAAACTTTGATAGTATGTAATAATAACAGCAAAACAAATAAAGAAAATAGAGTTTTAATATAATATGTAAACGGGCTATTTAATAATTCCAGTGACGAAAAAAACATTTACCCGTTTCCGTGATACTAAAACCACAGAAAGTCTTGTCTTTCTTCGTTTTTTTACTAGCACTAATCGTTAAAATTTTATGATTTATGCCTAAAAATGCCAAATAATATGTAGTAATTACTAAATATAGATTTCGACCAAAAAATAAAAGATTTTCGACTAAAAGGAAAATTTTTAGACATTTCTCGAATTTATCCATCCCTAGAAATACTAGAACCAAACACGATACCTGTTGATAGTCTCTCAAACGCCGGAAGATTGGTCGATAGTCTTTTAGAAGATGTACGAGTTGTCTTCTCAAGTTGTTGGGCAACGTGTAGGGCAACAGGCCGTCCATTGATGAGCCGACAACCTGAAAAAGTGGGATAGAAAAATGATAGCAATTAATTTAGTCGTTTTTCATACTTAGCAAAGGATTTGCGAAAATGAGAAATTCACAGTTCCCCTCGGGGTGAAGCGCACGCATAAAATATATGGATTTTTCAACTATAATTTCAAATTTTGAGCGTATTTCAAAGTTTTCTAAACCGTTTTCTGACTTTAAACCTATCTACTTATCGTACGCATCAAAAAAGATTAATACGTTTACTAGTACATGATTCGATAGCCCGATATTTCGAAAGCACCGCAAAGTAATTACTTATCTAATACGTTTTCAAAAGATTTCAGAAGAAGAAGATTTAATATTTCTAGATGACGGGCGTAAAGTTACTCAATTGTAAAGTCTAGAATAAATTGTAACGCTAATTTTCTAAAACAAAATGACTATTTCTAGAAAGAAATGACAAAATCTTACCTCGGCATCAGCGGAGCGCAGTACAGCCAGCTGGCGCATCGGCCATGCCCCGGCGCCGGTTTTGTTGTTATTTTCGGCTGGTAAGCGGCAGCCGAGTACAAGCCAGGGCTTCTCCCCGCCGCGCTTTCAAAAAAACGGCGTGAAATTGCTAGGTTTGTCTTTGAAAAACGATAGGTTAGCGTTCAGTATGATAGAAAAGAAACTATGAACGAAACGCCGATAGTTTCGCTGCTTTTCAACATGCTAAAACTAAAATAAGGGTGCTAATGCAGGCGGGGTCTGGATTTTGACCGAGGACGCTCCAAATGCCGTTTTTAAACTCGAAGCCCTCTGGAAAAGCTAAGACCCAAGCCCAAACAGAGCTTAGCTTCAACAAATCTAAGCTAGTTCTGCAGAGTTCTAAGCTAACCCATAAATGACCCCATTTTCACCTGAAAGTCATCTAAGTCACCTATTTGGAGCTCAGGGTTAGCTTGGGCCTAACCCCTAACCTCTGTTAGGCTTAGTTAAACCTAAAGTTACGCCTTGGCTTATAAGCGGAAAAACAAGTAGCTTAAGCGGAGCGCCTAACCCTTACTACCAATTTTGGACTGCCCCCCCCCTAACTGCATTAGCACCAAAATAAGCGTTGGTTTAGCCTTCTTATAGTAACTTTACACTTTTGATACCTTTTATTACCCGCGTTTCTCCGTTTCTCCGTCTCCGTCTCCGTCCGTATTTAGCACGTAAATTTTAAGTTTTATTACCTTATTTCATCGGTTTTTATTGCTTTTCGGATCTAGATGGATTTTTACAGCTAGATAAAGATAAAAACAACCGAGTATATTTTTTAGCACATAACTTTTCAGTTTTAGCGCCTTTCCGCCAATTTTCCAACCTCTGCATCAAGATCAATCGATCAGCAAGAAACCCATTCAACTTCAAATACCGGACTTTAAAAATCACGCCAAAAAAGCGTGTAAAACCTTGGTTTGTCTATATTTATCGAGAGCCGAGTAATAAATGGGTATGTGAAGGTATTGGGGGGAGCGGGTTTTCAGGGTTTTTCGGGGGTCCGGCTGGAGATCGGGGGTTGTGGGTTGGTCAGTTCTTGTTGCCGCGGAGCACCTGGAAGGGAAGGGAGAATGAGTTTTAATTATATAATTGAACCTGTTATAGAATAGTCTTTAAGATATAGCTTTATTAAAGTCCGAAAAACGCAAATTTCCGGTACCTCGGCCGCCTCGAAGGCTAGCGTGGCGATGGAGCCGAGCAGCTGCGCGTAGAGGGCCAACCTGAAATTTGTATGGTTTGTGGCTTTACAAAAGTACGACTATAAACTACATATCCTACTATATATAAAAAAATAGTGTCTGTGTGTGTGTGTATGTGTGTGCATTTGCATGCAACTTCCGTCAGCGTGTTCCAGTAGTATCTCAAGAAGGGGGATAGTTACGGGTATGTATTACACCTCATTAGGTGCGTAATGGCCTTGGGATGACTGCACACTCATAAAATTTTCAAAAATTCGGTGTTTTTGATGTTAAAATTAAGTTTTTTGTTGAAAAATCGAGAACCCTCTTTGTTAGGAAACAATTAGCATACGCCGGAAGTTGCGGTAGCCTATATAAGAGAAGAGAGGTCCCGTTTCTCATTTTTTGTCATCGAAAATCCCGTGAATTATGCAAAGGGCCGAATATCATGGGATCAGACGGGGCCAGGGTTGAAAAGTCGCGAAGCGGCTTTTCAACACTGGTGATTAAGAAAAAAATCACCAAAAGACGAGCCGGAAGAGGGCGGAGCCGATCGGCGGCGCGATGAAGTACTCGACGAGCCCGAGCACGACCCCGGTAAATAGCGCTGAAATTCCAGTGTTTTATTACTTTAAAAATCTACTCTCCTTTGCGCTACAGCGTTGTAAAGTATACAAAATTGTTCGTCTGGTTCTGAAGGGTATTACTAGCTTACCTTTAAACCCAAAAAAATGGTTTAATAAAATAATAGAATTCGAAAGCTGGAAGTATTTGCTGATGATCCAATTTTTCTGATAAGAATGGGCTAAATTTGCTTATACGGTCACCTACTCAAAACCCAACTTTTGATATGTCAAAATGCTCAGCAGGACGTGCTGGTGCAAGATCCTTTGAGAAAACTTGGCGGCAAAAGCTCTATCTCGAGATACATGACTTCGAAGTTGGCTAGTGTCGTATCCGGTCACCTACTCTAAACCAAACCTTTGATATGTCAAAATATTCAGCAGGACGAGCTGATACGAGATCCGTGGAAAAAACTTGGCGGCCAAAGCTCTATCTCGAGATACGCGAGTTCGTAATTCAATATTCTGACTGCGAAAAATCGGTTTTCGCTGATCGATAAGAACAATAACGCTTCGATTCAGGCGTAGCTTTACTCAACACACCCAGTTTAAGCCTAAAAAAAGGCTTCGTGCCACCCAGGGCCTAGTCGCTTCGGATGGGCGCGAGCTCGTACAGGGTTTCGAAATGGGGGCGCCAAGGCGGGCGCAGCGGCCGGGGGCGCCCCCATTTCGAAAGAGTGGAGCGGCAGCCCATCCGAAGCGACGGCCCACCTTGCCTGACCCTGATCAGGAAGCAAAAAGAATATGCGAAAAAAGTAAATGTGAGTGAAAAACGCGCTTTAGATCACTTAAGTAGGTTTCGAATTTTCCACGGGAATTCGTACCGTCTTTTGTTGCTTTTCGTACTACTGCCGCACTCCATATTTCGCCATTTTGTTGCTTTCCTTTTATGATATCTCGAGATAGAGCTTTTTCCGCCAAGTTGTTTTAACGGATCTCGCACCAGCTCGTCCTGCTGGGCATTTTGACATATCAAAAGTTAGGTTTTGACTAGGTGACCGGATACGACACTAGCCATCTTCGAAGTCATTTATCTCGAGATAGAGCTTTTGCCGCCAAGTTTTCTCAACGGATCTTGCACCAGCACGTCCTGCTGAGCATTTTGACATATCAAAAGTTGGGTTTTGAGTAGGTGACCGTATAAGCAAATTTTCCCTAAGAATGCATAGAGGGGCTTCTAAACTTTTTTTTACTATTTCTAGACGTTGAATCTTTACAAATTGGAGCGAAAAATACAAAATTTTAGATTTTCCTGCAGAAATGTCCGATTTTCCGCGGGCGTTTCGAATTTTTCAAAAGTTTTAAAGATTTTTAGATAATATTTTAGTTGTAGATAGCTATATTTTACTAAACATACCCCCCTGATAATGTAAAAGGGCCAAATCGGCAAAACCATGCCCACCGATGGCGTACTGGGTGCGCAGCGTGTTGTTCATGTTCGGCGCGATCATTTGCCGAAAGTCGTAGCGCCCGTCAATGTTGTAGAACCTGAAAAAAGGGCTTTAGAAACGTTATAAAAAGCAGGAAATATAATAAAAATTTTGTGATGTTTAAAAAGTTCGTTAAATTATGTAAAACGTACCATCGGCGCGCCACATGGGCGAGGTTGAAGCCGATGACGCCGATGTGGATGATCACGCTGCCGCCAATATCGGCCGCGGAGACGTACAGGCACAGCACCTAGAAAAATCAAAATTAATGAAAATTAAAATAGAAGATAAGCCCCTTACGTCATTAGGAAAAAGCGTACCTGGATAGCCAGCGCGGCCAGCTGCACGATGCGCGCCGAGCCGACGACACGCGGAAAGTCGTACGCCGGTTCCATCTGGATTTTCGTGTGTTTTTTGTCGTTATATTTTTGCATTTTTCGTAGAAGATACGTTTTAACCTTTAAAAAGACTTTAATGTATCGATTTTTAACGCTAAATTTGAAAATGACAAACCGAAATCTCGGTGGCCATTGCGGAAGGTGAAATTTGGATTGTGTTGGAATGGTTTGAATTTTTTTGTGATTTAGGGAAATGATGGTTTGCGTGATTTCCAAATCTTTATTCAAATTTTTCGGGTAGCATCTGCATAATTTTATCAAGCGCGGAAAAAAATAGTTTCCCAGGGCCTTTTCTTTTACAAAGTTTTGGTTTTATGGTTATTTCGTGATTTTGCGACAAAAACAAATTCGAAAAATTGGGGAAAAAATGTGGCAAATCATTTTGATAGTTTTCCACTTTAAATACCGTTAAATATCACTAAAACACTAGGTCTAGGTCTACTATTAGGTCTACTATTACGTCACTAGGAATTCCTGGACCACAAGGCATTTACAGAAAAAAATTATTTCCCCAAATCTATAATTTCAATACGTAAATAAAATGGACTTCGACAGCTAGAGCGATTCGGTGAAATTGGTGAAAGTTCAGGGGCGAGGTGGGCCCTTGGCGGGGGGTCTAAGGGTCCAGGGGCCCTGGAGTGTAAAACGGTTGAACGGAGCATTCGCTCAAAACGGATCAATGTCTCATCTTTGGCGGGGGGGGGCTGGGTCATAAACTGAGTCACAACACCGTGAATCGAGTGTGTTTTAGAATTTTAACGCCGTTTATCAGCTGACAAAACAATGAATTAAATGTTTATTAAAAATATTATGGTAATTTTGCTCCTTTTGGGCTTTAAATAGCAGAGTTTTGCATTCTTTAACTTATTTTTCAGAATTTCAATAAAAAACCCAACTTTTGAAACGTAAAAACCTGTTCTTCATTATGCAAAAAGCCATCTACGTGTCGAGAACCTGTTTTTACCTCCAAAATTGAGCTATAAAGTCGTAAATCTTTTTAAAACGTCAGAAAATACTTTATTTTACAATATCAATGTACAGAAACTTTTTGTTAGCTACGTGTAGCTCCACTTGACACACCGATTTTGTGAGTGAATTAGTAATTCCTAATCCTGGCTTGTAATTGACTTTTAAACGAAAAGAATGTCGGGGCAAAATGCCGAAATCCCGACAGTAAAAATATCGACAGCATTTAGTAAAGCTCGAGCCAAGGGAGCCCAGGGAGCCCAAGGCGGTTTCGCAGTATAACTTTATAAAACTCGTAATTCGTATTAAATACACTAATACTAGTATAATACGCCAAAATTAATGCCAATTATACTTTAATATACCTCCGGAAGCTCCCTGAGCTCTTTCGGCTCCCAGCTCCCTGGGCTCCCTGGGCTCGAGCTTTACAAACTGCCAATATCGACAACCAAGACAGATAAAATCCCTACAGCCAAAATCCAGGCCCGGAAAATAGTTTTTTAAAAGCAAGTGGCATTTAAACTAGCGTCAGGGGTATGTCGGGGTTTTGGCTGTCGGTATGTTGGTTGTCGGGATTTTGGTCGGAATTCAAGTTTAGGTTCCAAACTTCAAAAACCAAAATCCAGAAATTTCGCAATTCCTCACCAGTTTCGGCATCGTTTTCTGCGACATCACTTTAGCCTGGAAAATTCGCTAAAAATAGTACTTTGTAGTTTTAGCTTGTAGCGGATAAAAATAAGGTCAATCGGAAAGTTGGGGGTCGATTCTTTGGGTAGGTTGCAATTGGGGGGAAAACAGAGTTTCTAGGGGTGGGGTCCGCAGCAGAAGAGGGGAACAGCCTTCTTTTTGGCGCCGCGCCCAGCGCCCCACCCGCAAAGAGAAAAGAAGCAGAAAAGGGGAAAAAGAACAACAAAAATAGGCGTAAACAAGAGGGCAAGTGTACGAGAGGAGATCGGGCTGCGCGGACTGAAATGTAGAATAAATAATAGAAAGGCAGTAACGTCAAAAAGCTTTAAAAACTCGGTTTCAATAATCTCAAAAATTGGAAGAATTTAGATTTATTTCAGTTTTGCGAAGTTTATATTTTGACGGCTGATTCATGCTCTCGCCGCCAGGCTTTCTAGCTCTCTCCCTCCCTATCTCTCTCTCTCTCTCTCCCTCCCTATCTCTCTCTCTCTCTCTCTCTCTCTCTCTCTCTCTCTCGTTCTCTCTCCCCTCTTTCTCTCTCACTTTGGCCGTCTTACTCTGACTATCTCGCTCTTCTATCTCGCTCTCTCTAACTCTCTCGCTCTCCCGCTCTCTCTCTCTCTCTCTCTCTCTCTCTCTTCACTCTCTCACTCCCTCTCTCTCCCTCTGTCTCTCTCCATCATAATTTCCTTCAAAATCGTTTATCAAATCATCAAATTATGCAAATAAATTTGGTCACAGCAGCGGGGGAATCACATTTTTTGGCGATCATCAAATTACCCGTAATGCATCGTATTTTGGTATCAAAACTGAATCACAGAAATCACAGAAAATCTATCATTTCTCATTTCCACACAAAACTCATCAAATACGCGAGCATTGTCACACAGTACGTGTAGATGACGGTGGCGGCTGTCTCGAGGGTCTGGAAATGACTTGAGTTTCGGCTTGGCTTAGGCTTAGCTTAGGCTTAGCTTAGGCTTAGCTTAGGGTTAGCTTAGGCTTAGCTTAGGCTTAGCTTAGGCTTAGCTTAGGCTTAGCTTAGGCTTAGCTTAGGCTTAGCTTAGGCTTAGCTTAGGCTTAGCTTAGGCTTAGCTTAGGCTTAGCTTAGGCTTAGCTTAGGCTTAGCTTAGGCTTAGCTTAGGCTTAGCTTAGGCTTAGCTTAGGCTTAGCTTAGGCTTAGCTTAGGCTTAGCTTCGCTAAGCTTCCCTTAGCTTAAGTTCCTCACCTGTGGGATGGCCATCACTGCCTTGATCAACGCCGTCTGGCCCGTTTCCGGTCTTGGATAAGCTAGCGGACCAAAATCTCGCCGCTCGATCGCCTCGGAGACCGTCGGGATCTAAATTATGCATTAATGATCTACTACTTGCTTAAAGGGATAGGAGCAGCATAAGTCAATCGATTACGCGCGGGAAAGAAAATGCCTCTGCGCCTCTCCCCTGGGCGCCCTTCGCCGCTGTCTGTTGACCCCCCCTCCCCAAGGGGGGTTCAACAGATGCCGTCCTCATCTCTTTAAGCGTAGGCTTAGACTCATGCTTGTTACGCTTGGCTTAGGCTCAGCCTTAATCACCCACTTTTCCTCCATAAACATATCTCGCGTCCAGCGCCTCCATATCCAGCGCCACTTCCGCAGGCCGTGCCGAAATGTCGCCATTCTCGTTGAAGACGGCCCGCTTCGGGGGCACCAGCGTCAGGAAGCCGTTCACGTAGCCGAGCTGGTGATCGATTTCCGTCACGCTTGCTGGAAAGAATTGTTGAAACTGTTCTTCCAATGCCGTAGCCTGAGCTTGTAGTGTGTAGCCCTTAAAACCTACCGGAAGTCATTGTCTCGTTCTGCTCGTAGATGGTGTACGTCTCGTGCATGTTGACGGTACCGCCGGGCTGGAGGGTGGCACGACGACTCATAACGACCGTCTCGCTGATGGATGGACGAGGGGTGACCTGAAGAGAGAAAAATGACAAGAGAGAGAGAGAGAGAGAGAGCGTGAGAGAGAGAGAGAGCGAGAGCGTGAGAGTGAACCATATCCCCTACCTGCAACCCTTCTTCAATCCGAACCTGCCGCATCAGCTCGTTCATCGATAGATGGTCCCTAAAACCGAAATTTCTCTAAATTTCACGTTCCGCATGAATCTCTGCTAGCCACCCACTTCACCGCTTCTTCCCGGCTTGTCCTCGCCGTCTCCCATCTCCCCGAATCATCGTAGGTCAGCTCCGCGATCGGGCGATCCAGGGCTAGGGTTGGTTTGGTCTTAAAGGGCTGTTGAAGGGAGCGTCTAGGGTAAAACCTCAACCCGTCGTTCTTGCAATCGCCGCACATAGTCGTCGCACTGGATGAAGGCGCTGGTGGACTCGATGGGGTCGGCGGGTTGTTGGGACAGGCGGCGTGATGCTCCATTGCTCTGAAAAAAGAGGGATGAATGATTCTGCTAGCTTGTCCTCACTTCCTCAATGATCTCTGCTGGTCCGCTTTCGCCTACTCAATGATCTCTGCCAGTCTGCCCTTGAATCCTCAATAGTCTCTGCTAGCCTGCCCCCGCTTCTTTAATGATCTCTTCTAGCCTGCTCTCGATTCCTCAATGATCTCTGCTAGCCAGCCCCCAAAAAATCGTCCCGCCTTATGCGCCACCGCTCCATTCAGCGGCCCAGGTACTGGATTCGCCGTGATGAGCTGCGGGTCGTACTTGCCGCTGACGTTGAGCACCTACAGTACATAAACTATAAGCCACACCACAACGCACCATCGTTCCCACTTCCGTAGACCTTCGAATCCCTTCCGTGAGCGGCTTCTTCTTGCCGTGGCGGCAACAGCACAGCTGAGCCGACGGGGCCATCCTATGGACGGCCCGGGCGGACAGCAGCGGCTGTAATGTACCATAGTCAAAAAATACAGAAGATACGGTATGTGGCAGAAAACAATTTTTGACGATCAACCGCAATTTTGGTTACGGTTATGGTTCATCGGGAGAAAAAAAAGACACCGTACGCCAAAATCACGAAAACCAACATGTCGACAACCCAAATCCCGACAAGCGAAGGTTCCGGAGGACAAAATACCGACGGCCAAAATCCCGACAGGTCAAAATCGGATCGCGAAAATCCCGACAAGGCAAATTGCGAGGGGAAAATACCGGCAGCACCTCTCTTTGAAAGAACGTGACATGAAACCGGCGTCAAAAATATGTCGGGAAGTTGTCGGCTTTATGACTGGAACTCAGGCTAATTAAGTAATGCGGTAAATTTTACAGAGAATTTGCATAATTCCGGATTCCGAACTTCAGTCCGTGTCACAACCCCTTTAAAAACTGCCGAAAACCGTAAAATGCAGAGGGGGCTACCGGTGAAATGGGTTTTTCATGGCACACACCGCTGCAAAAAGGCAGAGAAAGAGAGAGCGAGAGATAGAGCGAGAGATAGAGCGAGAGGGAGAGAGAGCGAGAGCCAAAATGAGTGCCATAAAAGGGTGATCCACCGCCGAGATGGGGCGGTGGGCTTCGGGAAAAATTTCCATTCCGAGTGAATACGGCCTGCCGTTGGCCCGTACTCACTCAGAATCCCGAAAAAAGTGGGGAATCAAGAAGAAGAAAAGGCAAGAAGTTGCCGAAATGGGTCCACAGGAAGTGGGGGCACAATGCCGGCTTGTTATCCGGGGGGATAGGCCACACCCAGTTTGGCATCATCCCAAAAAACCCTGAAAAGGCAGAAAAAGATTAAATAAAGCGCACAAAATTAGGGATTAAGCTTGGCTTGGGCTTGTGCTTCGCTTAGGTTTAGGCTTGGCAGGCTTACGCTTGGTAGGGCTTGGGCTTACGCTTGGCTTAGGCTTAGGTTTGGGCTTATGCTCGGGCCATGAACAAGCTTAAGCTTAGGCTTAGGCTTGGCTTAGGTTTAGTATTAGGTTGAGACTTAGGCTTAGGCTTAGGCTTCACTTAGGCTTGGCCTAGGCTTCGGCTTACCAAGCCTGACTCAGAAACTCGTGCTCAATGTGAGGAACGGAATCCGAGCGCTCCTTTTCGCTACTGGTTGCAGTCAGGGGAGCATGAGGGGGAGGGGAGGAGCAGCACCCAGATGAGATAAGGGTTGAGAAGGCGGGTGGTGGGGAATAGAATGGAGCGGATAGAAGAAGTGAGCAAAAGCCAAAAAAATGGAGGGAGAAGCCATGGCCCAGAGGCCATGAGCCCCCGCCAACACATAACCACATTTGCTATCGGGACGACGGGACCGGGACGGGGTGGCGCAACGAGCCACAACTGATTTTTTTTTAAAGGGACTGGAAAGGCCAAGGCTAGCAAAGGTTCTTTGCGGAAACATACTGAAAATTAACTTATGTAATCTTTAAAGGGACTGGGAAGACGAGAAAAAGGGGCGTGCTAGCAGAGATCATTGGGGGTGCTTTTGCCTTATCGGGGGGTGTGTTATCAGCAGAACATATTTTTTTTTTCTAACGCCGAGAAATGTCTAGGGATTAACTATCAGGTAGTTGATAGTGTCTTTAGTGAAATATAACTTTATTTTAAGCAGAAACACTAGCTAAAAATTTTGAAAATTCCAAATTTTTCTCAAAAATCTTCTTTTTCGTGGAAAAATCGATATTTTCGTAAATTTTGATGAAATTTGTTAAGTTTTCAGGTTTAGGAATAGTGAAAAACTATTTAAAGAACTTTTTTGTTTTATATTAGTGAAATCTACCCTAGATAAAGGCAAACTAGCAGAGATCATTTAGGAATGTCTCAACGCGCCTTTAAAACTGGAAGGGCAGTCTAGCGGGTTTCTCTGTGGAAAATTATGCACTAGCGATGACGAGAGCGTCTTTATAGCCAAGGCAGGCTAGCAGAAACTCTTTAGCAGAGCACTCAGTTGTATGAGGGCAGGCCAGCAGGGATCTTTGAGGAAATTTTCGATTTTTTCGAAAAATATACTAAAATATGACTCGCAACTCCGCAACCTACCAAATCGTAGCAATGATTTCTAGGTATCTCACATCAGCCCCGAAAAAAATTGAGCCCAGCCCGCCAATTTCGCGGGCACCCCGGCACTTTTTGCCCTTGCCAGCGGCCGGAAATTAGCGGAAATGTAGTTGGTCTTGCCTCCAACGCCTCAAAAATCTCAGGCCAATCTCGAAATTAGCCCCCAGCAGCCGGTGGGTTATGGTAACTGTGGGTTACGGTAGTTGGGAAAATTCAAGGTTTTGGCCTGGTCTGGGATTGGGCTTAGACTTACTTGTTAGGCTTGGGCTTAGGCTTGGCTTAGGCTTCGGCATAGACTTGGGCTTATGCTTGGGCGTACACTTAGGCTTAGGTTTAAGCGTATGTTAGGCTTAAGCGTAGTCGTAGGCTTAGGGGTGGGCTTAGGCTTAGGATTAGGCTAAGCTCTAGGCATAAGCTTAGGTTCAGCTGAGGAGTAGGCTATCTCAGTTAATGCTTTCGTAAAAAAGTGTTCGATCCTATTTGCCAGCCGACAGGTAATCGAATTGCAAATGTTGGCGTGCCGAATCGGTGTGGCGGGTCGTAAAAAGGATCGAAAACGGAAATAATCGGCCCCGGGGAACGCGAGAGAGTGATTTGCATAGAAATTGAATGGCCGGTGGCGTCATAAAAATATTATTTTTCAAATTCAATATCAACCTGTGGTGCTTTCGCATTATCGGGGGGGGGAAGGAGACTTTTGCCTAAAATCCAATTTTTCTAATATAATCCTCTATAGGAATCCATCTGTTTTTACTATTCTAAACGCAAAAAGGCTATAAGATTTACTAATAAATACAAAAATCTCGTTTTTTACCAAAAATTACTAAATTACCGATTTTCCATCAAAATTTAAATTTTTGAAATTTTGAAAGTTTTCTAGATATTTGTTTCACTTGGCAGACAATTAAATTTTACCCAAAAGAATCTTAAAATGCTCACTAGTACTTTGCTGGTTATTTGGTCTAAGTCTTCCCCCCAATAGTGCACAAGTACCCTCAAAGATGACTGCTAGCTCTACGGCATTTCCAACAGAATCCCTGCTAGAATGCATTGATATCGTCCCCCCGCCCCCCGATAATGCAAAAGCACCAAAAAAATCACTTACACAATCTACAGTCGATACCGGTGAGTTTTTCAGATGAGAAAAAACCGGAGAAAGGCCACACGGCCCCGGGCCCCCGCGCCAATTAGAGGGCCCCATTTGTCTCGTCTCAGCCCCCGGCGGCTCCTATCAACCCACCGGTTGCCACGGACCCCCCACTCATAGCACCCACCACCCCAACACAATAATACAAAAAAGGACTAGGGGAAAGGAGGGAGAAAAGCCTATCATTTAGCCCCCCGAGGGGGGGGGGGAAGCCCGTCGATAGGAAACCCGCGAAAAGAACGATTTTCGGGCCAGTTTTTCGTGAACAGCAAAAATCAAAAAGTTGCGAGTCGTGTGGGAGCCGAACTGCTTGATGATGAGGGCTGACCAGAAAATAAATTTTGGTACTTTTGCATTATTGGGAGGGGGTGTCTTTTTCTAAAGTAGTAGATAGTTTTTCCATTTTTCCTAACGTAGTAATTAGTTGAAAATCCTCGAAAATCGTTCTAAAGGAACCGGAAAATCGGGCAGGCTAGCAGAAAGGCTTCTTCATTAGCGGGGGCGAGAGGGGAAAATGATTTGTTTAGTAAGGAAATGCCTAATAACGACCTGGTAAGTATCATAATAGTTTTTTAGTAAAATTTAACTATATTTCAAGTGGAAATATTACCTAGCAAACTGTTTAAAAATTCAAAAAATCGGGCTATTTTTTGACCGAAGGTTTTGGTTTGGCGGTTCTGACGGTTTTGACCGAGTGAAACAGGCAACTTTTCCTCGACCGGAAGTACATAAAAACCTTCTAAGGATTGCTTGCAAAAACACGGTTCTTTTGCATTATCGGGGGGGGGGCGGTGGTGCACCAATTGGTCCCAGCCAATCTACCATAACACCAAAAAAACTTGCAAAACCTTGCACTAGCACCCACAAAATGTCTGATGATGGATATGGCGGGATGCAGAATTCATTCATGCTCAACGCCGTTCGTGCTCAGTCATTCAACTCGGCAAAAGCTCGCTGAAACGCGGGGCAAAAGCTCGGCAAAAGCGCCCCGCTATTCATTGGGTGGATCTCGTGCGCGGCGCGGGTGGAGGTACTCGAAAACCGGGGGAGTTTGGAGCAACGGAATAGAAACAAGAAAAAGCGAGGTTTTGGAGCAAGTTTGAGGGACTTGGATGCGACTAATAATAGCCAGTAATGAGGGCTTACAAGGGAACCTCACGGAGACATGGTGGAATTTCGGAAAACGCTCGCGGCTACCCCCGGGTAATCGGCCATTGCGATCACGATGCGCTTGTCAGATTTTTCTAAATAGACCTCTGGACAGAGATACAGCACTTCCGGAAAATGCTGATTTACATGCAAAAAAATTTGCATAGAAGGATGGTTTATGAGGCTCTCCCATCACTATGGAATCACCAGTTGAATGGCCGAGTGGCAAGCGACTCTCACTTGGTAGGATGCTGACGAGGGTTCGAATCCGCCCATGATTTATTGTTTTTGCTTTTTGCCAGAGATTTTTGTACAAGTCCAAAATCATACGTGCTAAAGTAATTATAAATTTTATGACAGTTGTCGACGTTACGTGGTCAGAAAATTATTCTTGTGAAATTTTTTTCATTTTTTGAATAGGTGGGTAAATAGGGTAAATAAGACGTTAGACAACTTGAATACGGTGCATTTCGGGTGACATGTGGAGGACCTCGGTGGATTGTTGACACTCAGTTTATTCAGAACATGGAAAGGCTTTATAGTCTTGGGGCGGCCATTAGCATATCGTACAGTTCTTTCCCACGGTGGGCCGGCGGCCCTGCCCGGGCCCCGACTGTACGATTGAGGTTTGAGGTCGCTGCGGCGACAGATGGTCAGGTGTAGGAACTCTAGCCGGCAGAACTGATTTTCATTTTTCGATTTTTTTTTGCCTTTACTAGTAGTTAATGGCTAAACATTAGGGATTTCGGGCTATTACTAGTAACATTCTGGACTTGCAAAAATCTCTGGCAAAAAGCAAAAACAAAAAATCGTGGGCGGATTCGAACCCTCGTCAGTATCCTACCAAGTGAGTCGCTTACCACTCGGCCATTCAACTGGTGATTCCATAGTGATGGGAGAGCCTCATAAACCATCCTTCTATGCAAATTTTTTGCATGTAAATCAGCATTTTCCGGAAGTGCTGTATCTCTGTCCAGAGGTCTATTTAGAAAAATCTGACAAGCGCATCGTGATCGCAATGGCCGATTACCCGGGGGTTGCCGCGAGCGTTTTCCGAAATTCCACCATGTCTCCGTGAGGTTCCCTTGTTAGGCTTGAGCCTTGGCTTGTAGGGCTTAGGCGTAGGTTCACATGGGCTTAGGTTAGGCTTAGGCTTAGGCTTAGCATAGGTTTTGGCTTGACCTTGAACAGCGTAAGATCTCACGAATTTTTCGTTTTATCTAGCGTAAATATTCAAAATTACCATTTTCCATTTAAAAAGCTTACACCCGCATCCGCAGCCTTTTTCATTTTATCAAGCCAAGCTGCCCTTCTTTTAGTGTGAGTGCATCCATACTCTATAGAAATCATACTAGATACATTCCCACTTCACGAACAGATTGCTCAACCGGGCCGACATCCTTTTCTTTCTCCCAATCTCCTTCCTTCTTCCTTTCTTCCTCTGTTATCATCGCGCCCACCACCTATTTATAGCCTTCCGTTTTTTCGGTTCAACATGCCCGTCCAGCTGGCATGATTTATAAATGTGATTTCGTGAGACATCGTGATTTAAATTTAAATTCGAGCAAATTTCGTGTTTTGTCTAAAATCTCTGTCACTTCCTATCAATTTTATGTAATTTTTGTTGCGTAAATTTTCGATTTGAGGGCTCCTTAAAGGGATGCCGACGGCATGTGTCGATCCCCCCTCATCAACAAATTGGCAAGTAGCCAACAAGGCAGAGAGCGCGCCCAGGGGAGAGGCGCAGAGACATTTTCTTTTCCGCGCGTAACCGATTGACTATGCCGTCGGCATCCCTTTAAAGGGCTAGTTCAACTTTTAGAGCTTGGGCTGGTACCATGGGAAACTATGGACGTAGGCACAGTGCGCCCCAACAGTCCCCCATTACGACAGCTATTAGAGATCGGGGGAAATGAGAGAGGCGCAGACACAAAAATGCAGAGAGATTTCGACTCCTGGCCGCGGAAATTCTTTTGTTTTATTGGCTGAACTAGCCCTTTAACGTAGTGCTAGTATTTTAGGCTCGAAATTAACGGTAGTTTCGAAGAAAAACCATCATTTTCTATTTCACCATCAGTTCCGAATTTTTCTTAAAAATCCAGAAATTCCTAACCACTTAAGAAGTATTTTAATGGTGTTTTTAGTAAAATTAACTAGATTTCAAGTGGAAAACCCATCCAGGAAACTCCTAACAATGTAAAAATTAGATTTTTGTCGAAAATCGATTATTTTTGGTCGAAAATTGTGTATTTTTTTTACTTAAAAATGTGGCGTTTTGACCTTCGGAAACAGTAACAAACGCTTTAGAAACACATGATTATGTAGCAAAAATAAGTCATTTTTATTTTTTCGATGCCACACATCGGGGTGATCGGCGCGGGGGGCGAGCGGCTTGTGCGTGGCGCGAAACGCGCTCGCCAGAGGCCATCGGGTTACGGTAAGGCTTTGCAAAAATGTTTAAAAGTTCAATTTTTGGTGTGGGAACAGTGCGAGCAGATTGGCGGCACGTGGGTCTACCGCCCGGAAACCGGCACGCATTCCAGCATGTACGAGGTGTTGAGGTGCGTTTTTGCAAGAATTCATCTGATTTTAACGGATTCCTCTTTAGAAAACAGAGTTTTTATAGTTTTATTACTAGCATATAGAAATTTTCAATACCTCTTTTAAGGGTGAACCTCTCAAAAGAATCGATGTGCTTTCCGGATTTCCCGTTCCCCAAGGATATTCCGTCATTTTGCGAGCATCAGCATGTACTGCAGGTTGGAATTTAGCGCAGATTCGCTTAAATGTCACATTTACGTCGGTTTTTATAGTTATAATAACATTCCAGTACCTCCAAGCATATGCCAAAGACATCCCCGTCAAGCTGGACACCGCGGTGATCAGCGTTCGAAGGGTGGAAGATGTTTGGGAGGTAAAATGCACCCCAAAACAAGAAAATTATTTTTTTAGGTAACTGGCAAAACGAAAGAAGATCCGCCGGAAGTGACAGTCGTAGATGCGCTCTTCGTCTGCAACGGCCACTTTTTCCTGCCCTATCAACCCTTCGATACAACCAATTTTGGTGAGTTTTTAGAGTTTTTATGGCTCGCAAAACTCGTAAATTTTGATAAAATGAACAAAAACGTTTAAACTTGCCTTCAAAGGCCGAAGTTTTGAGGCGGTTCGCTAATCCACAGCCACGACTACCGCACCACGACGCCCTACCGCGGTTCTCGGGTGGCCATCATCGGTGCCGGCTTCTCGGGCATCGATATTGGTCTACAGGTTGCTGACGTGGCCAAGGAGGTCAGGGAATTTCGGCTAAAACAAATTACATTCCCCTAGGTGCTATTATTCGGCAAACAGGAGCAGCAACAACACGGGTTCCCGGCAAATTTGAGGCAGGTTAGATATTTTAATTCATTAATCGTCGTGTTCCAACTTCTTTAGATCGACGAAAAAGTCGTTAAAATCACTACCAAGGGCGTGCTGACAATCCACGAGGAGCGCGAGGTCGATCACATCATCATCAGCACCGGATACCATTGCAGGTTTGCCGGGAACTGAACTGTTAGCGGGGGAGGAAAACAATTTTTCCGAGGAGTCCCGTACGGCCCTATAACAAATATCTACCATTTTAAATAGCTTTTCGATCTAGAAAGTTTATAGAAAAAATCAAAAAAATCCTAAGCTTTTGTTCAAAAATTTAGGAAAAATATCATAATCTTCGAATTTTGAATTATTTTTCGATGTGTGACAACCGAAAACTGCTAAAAACACTGCAAGAAATACACTATATGTTATCAAAAACAATACGGTTTCAGTTACCCGTTCTTGCCGGAGGGCTTGGTGGAGGTCGTCGGTGCCGGGCGAGTCGTTCAACCGCTCTACCAGCATTTCGTCCATCGCCACTACCCGACTTCGCTCTTTTTCCCGGGGCTCAACTTCATCGCCGCGCTTTTCACAGCATTCAATTCACAGGTGGGCGTGGACATCACTTTTTCTACTTTTTTGACTCGTAAAACCTTCTTTAGGCTTTGTACGGCTTATCCTTGGTCGAGGGAAAAGCGGACGTCCCTAGCGAACCGGAAATGGATGCATGGGAGGGAAGGCAACTATCGTAAGAACCGAAAAACTACAAACAATCAAAAAAATCCAGCCGATTAGGCCAACGACCATTCCGGCACTATCACATGTTGGCCAACGACCAGTGGGATTATTACGATGAGCTGCAACGGAAAGGTAAGGGTTTTTCGAAATTTTAAAATCATTAAATTGGTACTGGCGTGTTAGCGGGGGGGGGGAATAGCGGGAATCCCGGATGGCTCGGTAAGGAAACGTTTATCGTGAAATGATCACAATTTGGAACATTTTGGACTTTTTGAACAAAAATCTATGTAAAACAGCCAAAAGGGGCAAAAATTTTGGAGCTATTGATGTTGGGGGGGGCATCTTTTTTTTTGGCGCCCAGACTTAGGTTTAGGCTTACAAGGAGATGGTCTCAGCTGGGAATCGAATTCGGATTTGAAAATTGGCACACTTATAAAGCTCGACGAGACAAATCGATTGGTGTAACTTTCAGCTGCTGATACAATAACCACGCCAAGTTATAAGCATTTTAAGTTTTTGCATACATTTTGCAATATTTTCGCCGTAGCTTCATAGGCCTTCCCCGCTTCCCCCCATCACCGTGGTCTGGTGGCCTAGTGGTGTAGTAGGCGGGCTCCGGGGAATCTAACGAGGGTTCGAACCCGCTCACGATTTTTATTTTTTGCTTTTTCGTCCGGAAGGTTCCTCTTGCTTTGAAGGCCTTGAAGAGCTTGACGCATTATTTTAACTCATCTGATGCGCAGACAACATAACCTCACCGTAAAAATTTTTCTCCCGGGCATGGAGCCTTTGTCCAACGAATCACCTTTATGAATATCATTCCCAAAAATTTTCGCAGGAGAATTTTTGCTCGGATACACACCATTTACAATAAATTGCCGTTTACTCCTCGATTTTTCATATACTTGAATTTTCAATTTATTTTGGGATCTGTAGAGTCCTTTCGGGTAAAAATCTAATTTTTTCAAAGAGATTTTTTAGCCATTTCTCACCAGAGGATTTAAAATAATGCGTAAAAGCTATTCAAGGCCTTCAGAAAGCAAAAAGGAACCTTCGGACGAAAAAGCAAAAATAAAATCGTGAGCGGGTTCGGAACCCTCGTTAGATTCCCCGGAGCCCGCCTACTACGCCACTAGGCCACCAGACCACGGTGATGGGGAGGCGGGGAAGGCCTATGAAGCTACGGCGAAGATATTGTAAAATGTATGCAAAAACTTAAAATGCTTATAACTTGGCGTGGTTATTGTATCAGCAGCTGAAAGTTACACCAATCGATTTGTCTCGTCGAGCTCTATAAGTGTGCAAATTTTCAAATCCGAATTCGATTCCCAGCTGAGACCATCTCCTTGTTAGCTTTGACTTCGCGTACGCTTGGCTTATACTTAGCTTAGGCCTAGGCTTGGCTTAGGCTTAACTTAGGCTTGGTTTTGGCTTAGCTTAGGCTTAGTCTATGCTTAGTCTAGGCCTAGCTTAGGCTTGTTCTAGACTTAGCTTAGGATTGGGCTTAAGCCTAGGCTTGGCTTGGTTAGCTTAGACTTGGAGACAAGCTTAGGCCGGAAAAAACCTCCAAAAAAAAGATACCCCCCCCCCCAACATCAATAGCTCCAAAATTTTTATGTATGTAACTCTCTAGCATTCAAAAAACTATCGAATCTCTATAAAAATATTATATTATCGACAAGTAGATACAGGCTTAAAAACAAAAATTATTCCCCCGCTAAAAAGTCCAGTCCCTTTAAATTTAGCAAAAAATGTCGGACCCTTTCTACACACCCATCATCCAAAAGGTGTACGAGCAAATCCAGGTGGAAAAGCGGAGAAACGTTGCCCGGTTCAAGGACCTGAATTTTGACGAGAATGGCGATATCATTGTCTCGTTAGACAAATAATAAATATCGTGCATCAACTCTCAGTGTAAGTGCTGAGATCATGCTTTATTCGCCTAACAAAAAATGAGATCAACGAATTGTAAAGATACTATTTGGGGTTTTCGCCAGAGACGTCGAGCGGTTCCTCCTGCGTAAGAATCTCGATGCCGTACTCGTCGCGCACGTTCTGCAGCAAGTGCGTCTCGTTTCGCTGCACCAGGACGCGAAAGAGCACGTCTAGCACCTGAAAATTCTAGATAAACATTTGAAGCGCTTCCGAACCTCTTTTTCGGAACCGCAGTTGAACTGGAAGGCGGCAAAGTCGAGTACGGCGTTCACCCGTTTCTGAACCTCGGCATTGACCAGGTTGAGTGGGGCCACCTAAAATGATAGTTAA